TTGTCGATGTTTCGTAACTAATTTTGTTATATAACATACGACTGCCGACTCGAGGTGCACTATGCCTGATATCTATAGGGAAGACGTTTAATAACTTTTAGCAGAAAAACTACCGAAGATCTTTTATAGTGTGATTATGGATTGTCTTTATTACCTATATCTACCAATGCATCACATACATTTCTATCTTTTTTAAATATATTGCATTACAGTCCCAAGGTACTAAAAAACAAGGGATTAGACGACGATTGGAGGGGCGGGACTCTAGTTATGACGTCATAGTTTCCAGCGTTGCCAACGGGTCATGCATGTATTCAAGAAACTCCAAAGCGTTGTTACTTCGGTTACACTACACTAAAAAGGTTTTATGTTTCTCTGATGTTTCGAACGAATCTGGCGCTCATTCTCGTCGCAAACGAAGAAAAAACTACGATATCGCCCTGCTAGTTGGGGCGGAGGGAATGTGTCAGGGAAATTGGTGAATTCCGACCACCATCCGCCGCTCTCTTTCGTTATTGCCATGATAATTTGCTTATTAGAGACGAAACAGTTTTCCTAATAACTTATATAAAACACACCCTAGCCATGATGGAACCGATTTGAATTTCAACTGACTCCCCTTGAATCCAGCGTCTATTGCCACGTGATTATCTATTACAGTTCTTACTGGCTCTAATAGACTGGTCACTAGTGTCTGTTATCACGTCACGATCAAATACAATTCCTATCGGCTCTTTTAAATCGTTTACATCATCCGCTACAGTTCTGTCCGATTATTTCGTCACAACTTCGATTTCGCGCCATTTTCTGTCGTATTGTAGAGCGCTTGGAAATGAGAGTTTTTATTCCCTCTCTATTTTCTTTATTATTGATTTACGAAGGAAGTGCTATAAAATAAAAGTTTTTAAAATATAACGGTCTGTTGGTTGGCAAGGCCAGATTCATCTTTGGTGTTAGGTGCCATTTCCGATAATTGCAAAGGGATGTTTGTGTGTGCATATATGTGGGTGTATGCGTCTGTGGGGGGGGGGATTTGTGCATGTGTGTTAGTGTGTGTGTGTTTATGCGTTTATGTTTGTGTGTGCGTGCGTCAATGTGTGTGTGCGTGAGTGTGTGTGTGTGTGTGTGTATGTTAATTACCATCATCTCATCCAATTCCTCACCCCTCATACTCAACATCCTTACTTTCACCCTCATCCTCATTCCTCTCATCTTTCACGTTCACCCTCATCCTCATCCTCATCTTCATCGCTCCTCCCTCATTTTCCTCGCCGCTCTCATTGCTCACCTTCAGTAACACTGTAATCCTCAGACCTCATCCTCAACATCCTTCTCATCTTCAACTCTCAACTGTTAACACGCCTCACCCTGCATCCTACTCACCCTCATCCCTTATCCTCTATCCCTCCTTTCTCATCCCTCCTCCTCCACATCCTCACCGCTCATCCTCCTTCCTCTTCCCTCATCCTCCTCATCCTCACCGCTCATCCTCCTTCCTCCTCCCTCATCCTCCTCATCCTCACCGCTCATCCTCCTTCCTCCTCCTCATCCCTCATCCTCCTCATCCTCACCGCTCATCCTCCTTCCTCCTCCCTCATCCTCCTCATCCTCACCGCTCATCCTCCTTCCTCCTCCCTCATCCTCCTCATCCTCACCGCTCATCCTCCTTCCTCTTCCCTCATCCTCCTCATCCTCACCGCTCATCCTCCTTCCTCCTCCCTCCTCCTCCACATCCTCACCGCTCATCCTCCTTCCTCCTCCCTCCTCCTCCACATCCTCACCGCTCATCCTCCTTCCTCCTCCCTCCTCCTCCACATCCTCACCGCTCATCCTCCTTCCTCTTCCCTCATCCTCCTCATCCTCACCGCTCATCCTCCTTCCTCTTCCCTCATCCTCCTCATCTTCACCGCTCATCCTCCTTCCTCCTCCCTCCTCCTCCACATCCTCACCGCTCATCCTCCTTCCTCTTCCCTCATCCTCCTCATCCTCACCGCTCATCCTCCTTCCTCTTCCCTCATCCTCCTCATCTTCACCGCTCATCCTCCTTCCTCCTCCCTCCTCCTCCACATCCTCACCGCTCATCCTCCTTCCTCTTCCCTCATCCTCCTCATCCTCACCGCTCATCCTCCTTCCTCTTCCCTCATCCTCCTCATCTTCACCGCTCATCCTCCTTCCTCCTCCCTCCTCCTCCACATCCTCACCGCTCATCCTCCTTCCTCTTCCCTCATCCTCCTCATCTTCACCGCTCATCCTCCTTCCTCCTCCCTCCTCCTCCACATCCTCACCGCTCATCCTCCTTCCTCCTCCCTCCTCCTCCACATCCTCACCGTTCATCCTCCTTCCTCCTCCCTCATCCTCCTCATCCTCACCGCTCATATTCTCCCCAGAATGGTCGTGAGATCCCCGCCAGGATGCTGCGGCGGCGTCTTCTACATCCTGCAAGGAACCAAAGTGCTCCCGAGGGACCGCGTGATAACTTCCCCGAATTACCCGCAGCCTT